GCCTGGAGCTAGGTGATCTGGCTCATTATTGTGAATCTGGTGTGTGACAATCGTGGTGGTGGTGTGCAAGGAACAGGTGATGTGTAGGTTACAATAGAATGGAGGGTTTGTGTAGTGTAGGGTAATGAATAACGTCACTCTTCGAGATTTTAACATTTTAGTATTTACCTGTGACCGATTTCATATCTAGCAAGTCTGTTTAAGGTTAGAATTACATAACAGTGTGCCCATCTAAACAATTGTTGCATCTGAAATGCCAGCGTAGCCAACCTTCACGAATTTTATGGTGTATATTTTTTTAGTGATTAAATGGTATCTATAGCACGTGCTTGGATATAATATAACCATAGCATGTGCTTGGATATGAAATGTAGTCTAGCTACTGAGCATATTAAGTTTCTGTAGGGTAGGTGTAACAATTTATTTTTTCAGCGTTACGTGGAAATAGGCTATGCTTAAGCGAATTGCGTTTGGAGTCAAATGGTTAGCATTCTGAAAAAAGAATCTTGTAAAATAGAGTATTTTGCCGAACATTGTGCAATTAAACATTGTAATATATTTTAATTAAAAAACAGTGAAAGACGTGACTACCAGGATTGTTATAGGGACTGTCTCGCCTCTCCTGCTGAGTCCTTAGTTTTTCCTTAGGTCTAAGGTCAAGTGCCTTCACTGGGTGAATAAGGCTGCAATTCACCTGTACAGTAACATCAAAAATACTTAATTCTCTAAAATGGGGGTTTAAAAAAACTTTGTACACAGATATCTCGGGTATATCAAACTTGTATAAGGTCCATGTGTGAGGTACATCTCTTCTGTACATTTGACATCTATTTTTTAATTTCTTTGATTATTCATTGAGAATGTGCTATTGCTGAGTAAATGGAGATAAATGGGGCTAAGTCGACAAATGGTGGAAAAGACAGTTACAGAGAGGAACTTTATTGAAACGTTTCACTTCTTCAGAAGATTTAAGAATAAGACAACTGTCCAAAATTGAAACGTCTCTATAAACATCCTCATTGCAATTACGTCTTCTCCACCATCTATTGTTCACTTATCTTCCTTATGAAAATATTGCTCATCTTCAGGAAGTAGGAATTTTTAAGACCAATTTATTTCATAGAGAATATCTACAAATAAAATGCCTAGCAAGTGATTTTGTATATATGAAGTAGAGAACAACAGCGAAGAACAAAACTGTTAAGTAAATAGGCGATTCGGTTGATGCGCGCACCTGCTTCCACTTAATCTATTCTCTCTTCAAGGGGAGTGTCAGATACTAGTAAAAGTCTCTTGATCCACAGAACTGGAACTAATGTTCCCTTCCTCATATCGAGCCAGATAACCACCCATTGCCAGTTGGTTTAACCTTCAGGGTATACCTTTGACGAGTTCCGAGAGTTTGTCTACTCCCGAATCCCAGTCATAGGCCAGGCTCGTCTGGTGCTTGCCTGGCCAACCAGGCTGTTACTGCTGATAGCCCGCTGACCCACATATCCATCAGTCTGGTTGATCTGACACCTGATAAAGATACTTGTCCAATTTCCTCTTGAAGACGGTGAGACTGGAGCAACCTTCTTCCATGAACCTTGCCTTCCTCGAATTCCTCAGGTCTGTACGAACTACCGGTCTAACGCTTCCCAATGACCCTACGGGTCTATCGTTTCACTATAATAATATCTCCCCTAATTTTTTCTTGTTATAGCCACACCTGAATAATGTAGCTTGTTTGCAAATTGTTATTTATGTAGATTGAGGTCGAATTCTATATCGACACCCGTGAGCTTAAATTATTGAACCTGGTACCAGCAGATATCAGAAATACTGATGGGACAAGTGTAGTATTCAAGAGGAAGCTCGATCACAACCTTCGCCAGGCTGTGATCGACTGGGCCAGCGGGCCTGCCGATAGCAGCTAGCAACAGCCTGGTTAACTAGGCAAGCAACAGAAAAGCCTGGATCCAGGCCAGACTGTGGGTACCATGAAGACTTGCAACAGGCCACAGGTATATATTACCTAAAGCTAGGTAATATACCCCTTGGGCTTTGCGCTTCTTTTTTAAAAATAATAATAAAAAAAAATAATATAAAATTTCCAGATTTCTTTTATTAAAAAACCATAGACAAAAATACCTTTTCGAAGAGCATTTTCATAATAGCGAAGGGATAAAACAAGGGAAACCCCGGAAAATGCCCGATTAAATCGTATGTTGGTTTAAACCCGCGTTTTTTGATTGAGTATCCCCCACATTTATAAAATTAAAAGTTCTGATTAGTATCTAAACAATGGTTTAAAAAATTTTTAAAATCGAAAAATTAAAAAACTTTAAATTCTAATTTAGCATTCTACATTTTTAAAAATAACGTTATAGTTTGGAAACGATACCCCTAAAACACTGAAAATTTTCGTGAAAAGGGTTTTTAATTTTTCGCATGGGTAAAAGTTAAATAAACATCCTCTATAAAAAATAAACCCAATTTAGTAAACAATGCGCTCCTTTAACGTCTTAAATTAAAAGAACATCTTCAAAGCTTATTTTAGTGCGTCAATTTTTTTTTTTTCGATTTGTAAAATTTTTAATTCTTTTTTTTCAAAAACCCCCTTCATTTTAAGCTAGGCCCAAATTAATTTAAAAAACATTAAGCAAAATTCAGATTACAAAGCCTAAAAAAAACGTAAAATTAACCAAAAGGTTTTCTGAGAAAAAAAATGGCTCAAAACTGAAGTTGATCCTGGTGGTACGAGAATGGGCTTTAGGAGGAAAGTTTGAATTAAGTAAAACCAAAATCCCAATACCGTGTTTTTAACCAATTAGTTTTAGAAAGGGGAAAGGGGCATTAGGAAAGGGGCCCCAATTTTGGAATTTCCCGCTTTCCCCCTAACCACTTTATTTTTTTTTCTGTTCTTGAGTCCATTTTTTAGAACCATCCCCCCCCCCTGATCCTTATCATCCACTTTTCTATAAGCGAGAACGAACTTAATATATAATGAATGTACATTAGGTCAGATAAGATTCGTCGGGAAACATGGCATACATGTCTCCAGACGTGGGTTATGTAATATTATGATAACCCGCCACTCGAGGAAATTTTGTTCGTCTGGCCGTGACTTTTCTCTGACTGGTCTACCTCTTTAAAAATTAGAGAAAACATTATTTAAGGTTATATAATTTATTGATGTATGTATAAAAGTGTTATACGGTATGCAATTAATAGTATATGTATGTATTAAAAGTATACTATTTATAGTAATATATTAAAAGTATATTTAATAAACCTATGCTGATAATGTCGGTGAAATACTGTATTGTTTGTTTTAATGGCTGAGTTCCTTAGGTTTGAGGTGATGTTGCATTCGGATTTAGTGCTTTCTTCAGATTATAGTAGTTGTAGCAGTAGTGATAATGGAGATGTCTGAATTTGAAGGCGAGTCGGGAAAGACAGCTATGATGAATGTTTCCTTCTTTGGATCAGCTTGCCGTGGTTGTAGTGTTGAATAACGTATAGAAACACTAGGTTTTGTAACCACAAGATGCATTGAGACGGGAAAACTTGACATTTAAGACATGGCAATTTTGTAACCTAGTAAATGAGGCCAGTCAGTCACAGTTGATGGACTGAACTACAAGATGGCATGTCTGACAGCTTGAGCGAAAATGAAGATTGTTCACTTGTAAAATGTAAGATCTTAGCTCCCACTAATTTGTGTAGATTTGGATGTCAGTGGTCGTCTTTACAAGTTATTCCTTGATTTCATTATAAGAAGAGCAGGGTTCGCCCTTCTCTGGGTGTAAGTACATACGTACACGCTGAGTACGCGCGTACTCTCTTGTTTGTATGGGTCAGGTCTCACCTTCTGACCGATTCTTTGTAAGCTGCTCGGTATTAATGACTTCTGACCTTTTGGACCTTACCATACCTTCTTTTGAAACTCTGTATTTCATTTGCATTTTCCATTTCTACTCACAACTTCAAATTTACTATCACCCTGAGACTAAATAAGTACTTCCTAACATGCCTATGGCACATCTGTCTTTCTCTGGTTGGGTGCGAGAAGGCCTGGCATGAGCCAGATCTTCCATAATTTTCTTATTTTTATGACAGTACTCGTGATGTACGTGTTGGAAAACAGCACGGAAGCAGCAGGTGGAGGTGAATGTGTTTATTTCGTTTCACTGCCTAAAATAATAAATTTGCTGAAAAAAAGTGTTCGTGTTTATATGAATTTGTATGAATAGATTCCACAGTGAAAATGTTGACAGGAAAAACACCTCAGGGCTTTCGTGCGTTTACACACATCTTCCTGTGAACTAAAAAAAATATTCAAGAGTGTAGTAAGTTGTACGTGTATACATATGTGCATGTATATACATTGATGTAATACGCTAGTGGGCGTGGTAGTTCAGCTGAAGGTGTGGTGCTGCTGGAATTGGGTGGGTGGGGCCTTAACATCAATATTCTTGTTTACCCCTAGTGACGAATGTCCGTCTGCCAAGTCTTTACACTTCGTATATTATAACTTATTATATGTAAATTTATACTGCCTATACGAGTCTACAAATATTTAGCCATGCTTTAAAATATTGAACGCCTTGAATATACATTTTCTAGCTAACCTTAATATAATAGTTTTGAAGAAAAATGTTAATGATGTTTTTACGGTCGTCTTTTGTGACTGGTGTAAAAATGGGTTTGGAGTTTAGTGCTTTAAGATAGCAGAATGTCGTGCAAGGAGTAATTAGTCTGGGGTGAAGTTATCTTGAGAGATATCTACACTGCGCGGCACATCGTGACGCGCCCGACGTGGCAGCAGCAGTTTTGCCAGACGAGGATTATAATGAAAAAGCTTCTTTCGGTAAGCTTCTCATATTACAGGTACATTTTGACTCAAATAGATTGGTGTATTAGTTTTTATCAAACTCAGTTTTGAGATGCATAATTTTACTAATGTTTGAGATGAGAGAATGCACGTTGTTTAGCATGTGCAACAGCAATGTGTTGGTATTACTGTGACGTCATCGCCCAGTCGAACCGGCCACCTCAGCTGAGTTGGTCGTGTAGAAGAAACTAGTGCGTGCCTTACACATATATGCATTTTAAATACAGTAAATAACATTAGATAATTAACAGTAATGGAAAAGTGGCATTCATTAACAGGAAAACTAATTACTGGTGCGAATCCGGCATGACAAGTGTGTTTTGCGCAGTAAAAGCAGGTTCCAGACAGATATACTGGAACTTCCTGGACTGAGTGGATCAGACTCGTCCATCATTCCAGGGGTAACCCGCTTATTTTGACGCTCAAGTTGACACATTGCTTTGTCGACCTCATCGCACTTGAACCCTATTTTTCTTACGTAAAGGTTTTTAATGACATTACAACAGCGAAGAAAGAATATTGTAATGCATGTCAAAATATAGTTCAATTGACCAGAGAACTGTTGCTAGCTTATGGTTTAAAGAAGAGGAAACTAGTGTGTGTGTGTGTAGGAGGAATACGGTGTTGAAGCCAGTGTGTGCTTAGCAACCTCTCCCACTTAGCTATATCCACACTGACTTTTCTTCCTCAGGGAACAGTGTTTATTTAGTGTAGATAAGCTTTTGTGCCTTGTATGCCAAGGCTTGTGTGAGAGATTACTAGTTAAGAGGAACAAGAGATATGCTCGTGATGCACCGTCTTCAGTGTTTAGTGTATTATAATGTGTTACATTTCTGGTGGTTGTAACACATTACCTTCTGTATATTATTTTATCAGTCTGCTAAGTGAAGAAATATTTTCCCGTGTCGCTGTACGATCCTGTATGAGGTTATATTTCGTCTCTTCCTCCTACCAACCAACGAGGGAATCTTCGGTATTTTCAATCTTTGTAACCCGTATATTTTTTGCTCTGGAAACTATTTTATAACGTCTTTTGGATCTTATACATTTTCTCCATATTATATTTGTGTAAACACTTCCTGTGCATATTCCTGTATGATGTAATGTGTACGGAAGTTATTTTTAGCATTTCATCGCCCAGTATTTTTAGCGACGAAATGTATTTATATCTACAGCCCCGTCTTCAGTGTATAATCTGTCATATAATTGTATGCTTGAAATTATGTACGTATTTTTAAATAGATATTTGTAGTTACGCGTTTCGTCTTTAAGTTTTTATTTTGTCACATTTTTTTTTAATTTCCAGTATTTGGTAGCAAGCACTACCTCCCACTGACTTCCAGCACTCAACAACACTATATATAAACATATTCTACAGCGTTATTGCGGCACTTTTTTCATAATTTGAAAGTGTAGCCATGTCTCTTTTCTGATGGTTACTTTTAGTTGATTTCTGCTGATTCCGGGGGTCACCGCCCTCCTGGGTCTGGTCTCAGACTAAGATTCTTGTCCCGGACAGGCCGCCTTCTGGTACAAATACAGTATATATTTCCTATCTACTTTCCCGGATACTTTTTATCGTGTGCTGTATTCAACACACCTTTTTAATGTATTCTAACAAGGTCATTTACAGCGTCTTCAAATTGTATGTAGAGTTCATATTTTTGAAGTTTGAAATTAATATTGCTGCACATCAGATTTTTTTTTTGCGCGATCTGTTCTAGTGCTCAGTATTCAAATTCTGGTCTTAACTTTTTTTTTCCTTTCACTCTGTATATTTCAGTTATTTTGAACTACATATTTAATTGTAATCAACTAATTTTGGTGGTCAGGTTCGTGTCTCCGTTCCTGGCCCTACGTCTTTAGGGTTTCTGATCGGTTTCACTAGTTTCGTGCCGTGTAGGTTGTCGTATTCGTACGTATTCCTAAAGCTGTGTGGAATGAGTATACGTGTGTACACAAAGTTTTGACCGTTCTGCATTTGTTAGATAAAGCGTTTTTTTTTGGTTTTCAGTTTAATGTCGGTTAATTATCTATCGATATTGTTACTGATCAGGCGAGCTGTGGAGCCAACGTCGGATTGCGTGTAGCTAGCGTCAACAGTCTAGTTGACCAATTCATCAACCAGGAGGCCTGATCTGGGACCGGGTCGCGGGGGAAGGGATGGGCGGTAACCGGCGGAATCGAAATCAGGCAAGGTACAGGTAAGACTTTTATGTAAACAGTTTAAAATAAGCGCATCAATAGCCGTCTTGGGTATTGTGAGGGAGGAGCAGGAGAACAGATCCTTCACTGCCAGCTTTTCCTTCTCATTGCATGCTGGGTTGCTGTCTCGGTCAATACACCAGTCTGGGTCAATACTCCACCACCCTTATTACCATGTTTTTTCTCTTCTCCATACCCCGCCAGTATCTGGGTTGATATACATGTTTTGAAAAAATCTTTAAATATTTCTTTAATCGGAGTTTGTTTTGCTACTATTGCTTTACTTGTACCATGTTGGTACAGAAGTCCTGCACTAGGGTCTGTTCCGCTGATGTTTGGGTTATATTATACACTTTCGAAAAGGTCTAAAAATGCTGATTTAATGGAAGTGTTGCTTATTTTTATACAATTTTTGTACAGTAACTTTTAGTTTACTTAAGGTTTTCGCGTGTTATTAGTGTAAATAGCGCAAGAGAAGTGTATGTGAGCAAAACCTTTAATCTGGGTGTGAGGACAAGTGTGGGTGATTGGCATTTTGTCTTGGTACTGGCTTTCCTTGTTGTTGTTGCAGTTTCAGAATCGTGAGAAAGAACATGTACCACTTTCCATAACTCGTCTGTCTTTAACCCCCCCCCCTTTTTTTTTGTAATAAGCCCTTTTCCTCTCATTATGAAAGTGGAAAGTTGGGTAATGTTGTTGCTGACATGGGAGACTAGTCATAAAAAAAAAATCTACAAATTGAAAATTAAATTTGACAGCGTTTCGATTCATCGTGGATCATTAAGACAGTGTCTTGGCTTGTGATACGTACCTACCACTGTACTGTTATTTGATTCTTCGTGGGAGATCAGTATTTTAAGATCCCGAATGTATGGAAGTTCAACATTTATCATATTTATATGATTTTTTGAACATAAGTCTGCTCCTCCAGCTGCAGACACATGATTACATTAGCAGGTTATACACCTGATGCAAATTAGTACGTGATCTCAGTGAAGGATGCAATTATACCTTTTAAGGGAGCATTTTCTCGTGCCTTAACTTCAACGATTCCTTGAAAGCGAAGCGTTATAGCAGCATATTTTACTGAGTTCGTGTGCGCCATGTCTAAGTAACAGGAGTTTACATGACAGAGGCGTGACCAGGCGAGCTTCCAGACTGTCAATGTGGGTCAGGGGTTGATGATCGTTGTGTGCCCGCTCACCCCACTGCGTCGCATTATTTAGGCTGAAATTTTGCATCAAGCTCATTGATGTTTATGCATGGGCATTTGTTGGGAAGGACGGGGGAAAGACAGGAAGGCAGTGCAGTTGTTTCCTTGGATCAGACATGTGCTAAGGAAATAAATCCACATAGATAACTTGCATCCCCTTTCCCTTCCCCTTCTCCAAGTAACCCCTGCCTCCTTCCTCCTGGAAAAGTCCCAGCGGACTGCCATATTTTAATGCAACGTTGGTTTTCTGATGCATTTACGCTTTATTTTTTTAATAATTTAAGCCTTGATACCGGTAAAGGGCTCTTGATCCAAGGAATTAAAGCTGCCCTCATTTTCCTCTGCCCTAAATGGAGCTGTCAACACTGAACAATACTCAGCTTGAGAGCACAAACGATTTGAATAGTGTCATTATAAGCACTATTTCCATTGTTTTAAAAATTTGCGGCAGACGTTATCACCCAGTCCCTTCACATGTTCTTTCACATGAATAGGACAAAATAAAGAACTATCAGAACATTCGCTGATTTCGAAACGGTCCTGAGCACCCTTGACCCACACCAGTGCATGGGAAACTTGAATATAGAAGCAAACAAGATCTGTATAAAATGTTAACCAGAGAAAGTCTACAAGATCAAATATTGAAAGAAAATGTATTAGATTGTACAGAAAAAAAGAAAAAAATCATGATTTAAAATCAACATATGTTGCAACAAAGTTATACCAAGAAATTACCGGTATAGACCAGAAACTAAGTTATGAATCAGTATTCAGTAACTCACTGAGAGACTGGGGAGGATTTTTTTTTTTCATGCCTCTGCCTACCCTGCGAATATTTTTTTTTTTTCATTGTTTCCACCCACCCTGCAAATATTTTTTTCATTACCTCCGCCCACCATGCAAATAGTTTTTCATTACCTCTGCCCACCCTGCAAATCATTTGTATATAACATACGCACACCTCGTAATTCGGAAAGGAAATACTAAAACTCACACATGCACCACCAGGGTCTGATTTATGAAGAACTATAAAAAAATACAATCACCTGCACGAGCGCATAGGCATGTGTGTGGTATGTACGCAACCCTGGTGAGCCAGTTTAGAATAAACCATGGTTGTGCTGGTGTAAGGTACGAAAATACCACATAGCTTACCCGCCTACATGATCCCTTACTCATCTTCAGCCTTTGCCATTAAAAAAACAACTAAGGTTTCTGGAAACATTGTATTCAAATTCACATGACTATTTTGTATATACATGTATTTAGGATAATTACTATTTAATATTGAAGGTCAAGACTGGTAGAATCTGCCAATTCATGTTTGAATTTTTTGTGCTTGTTATATTGGTGTGTTATTCTAACACCTATTGACTATATGAATGTCATTAAAGTTAGGTTAGGTAAGGTTCGTCAGGACAAGTGTTTCCTGATACGGGTCTTAGATGATGACCCGCCGTTGGAGCTTTTGGGCATCTGATCGAGGCCTTCCGCTGGCTTACAGGTCCACCCCTTTAAAAATTATGGTCATAGTTATAACCATTTAGTTGTCATTAAGGTCGCAATCCATGTAGACACTTAACATCAAGGATACTTTAATAACTAAGACATCACAATTAACTCTATACTGCACACGTAACTTGAGTTTTGTTTTTAACCCGCCTCTGTTGTACCTACATTGATTGCTTGGTAATTAAATACATAATTTAGTAGATGATTGATTTAATGGGTGACATTGTCCTCGTTTATGTACCTGATTCAGGATGATAGTAAATTGACGCATTATGTATTTCTGTTTATATTGCATG